AGGCCAGACCAGCAGGGGGCGCATGTGGGGGGGGCAGTGTCCGGATGGGGACCCAGAGGTGCCGGGTCCTCCACAAAGTGTCTCTGGAGAGTATAATAGTCTTTCTCTCCAGATTCAAATAAGGCGGTGGTGACCTCAGGGCTTGAGTCCCTGTCCTGGGAGCTGTGGGCCAGGTAGGAGGCAGAGCGTCTGGAGGCTCCTGGGAGGGAAAGGAGGATTTCTTTACATGTCTGGGTTGTTTAAGTGGCTTCTGAGGAAGTTTAGGGCCCCTTGGCTCAGCCAGGGGTGAGGCGGAGGGGTTGGTTGGCTGGGGATGTGCATTTTGGAGAGGAAGTCGCCAGGAGTAGAGTTTCCCCTCGCTCCCCATCCCTTCTAGTGGTAGTGTGGCCGCAGAAATCTGTGGAGAAGGGAGTTTTTCTGTATAGAACTTGAGGAATTTTTCCAAGAGGATTTTAGGCAGTTGGCTGTGATGTGTGATATAAAACTCCTCCTCTCTCTTCCCCCTGGATCTTCAGGAAGTCTACACAGCTTACTGAGGCTGTTGGGTGAATGGATTATTTTAGGGGGACTTGAAGAAGGGTGAACCTGAACTAGGAGCCAGAGGATGAGGCAAGCAGGGGGAGCAGCTGGGTTACTGGGCAATCGGGCTCTCCTCTCCCGTAAGCAGGGACGGACCGCCTCCCCCCAGATCTGAGTGGACATTCCCCCCGTGCAAGCCATTTTAAGACAACTGTTGTGTCCCCAGCCCAATCCCCCAGCCCCCACACCCCTACACATGCATACATGATGCCTGGACATGCACACTCAGTGCTGCCTGAATCCTCTTCTTTGTAAGCACCTGGGGATAGGAAAGCTTATTGAAGACTCAGGAGAGAAGAGAGAATCTTTGATAAGCACCTACTCTGTGTCGAGTCATGAATGAGTACCTAACATACATTCTCTAATGTAATCCTTATAACAGCCCAGGGGGCTGTGTTTTTTAGCTCCAGTTTATAGACAAGAAAACTGAAGTTCAGAGAGGCAAAGTAACTTGCCCAAGACAGCCCAGCTCATGAGTCAGGATTCAAGTTCAGATCAGCCCCACTTTTGGACCACCCTGTACTCTCCCTATGGGGCTTCCAAGGAGCCTGGAAGGGTGCTGCAGAGTACAGAGTTCTGGGTTTGGGGTCCCAGCTGTGCCACTCACGTGCTGTGTGGCTGAGACAGGTATCTCGCCCCCTCTGGTTTCCCCATGTGTAAAAGTGGGGGTGGACCGTTAGATGATTTCTCATGCTTCTGCCCTCTCCGTGTGGGGATGTGATGTCTGACCAGCTGGGAATGGAGGGTGACAGCAAAAAGGGGGAAAGACAGGTTGGTGTGACTTCCGAGAGGGGCAGCCGCTGTGGCTCAGAGGAGCAGAGCCAGGGAGGAAGCTCTGCAGTCTTTTCCCTCCAAGAAAGCGGTGCTTCCTGCCCACCGTATGCCCACATTTGGCAAACCCAGCCTGCACCCTCAGAGCAAATGCCTCCCAGGCAGCCGGGGCTTGATGGCGTCGGCTCAGCCTGCCGGCAGCGCCCGGATATCCCAACTTAGCCTTCCAGACAGCAGAGAGAGGGAGCACCAGCTGTGGAGGGAGCTGGGATGCTGTGTGCGCAGTCGTGTGTGTGTGTGTGTGTGTGTGTGCGTGTGTGTGTGCGTGCGCACACGGACACGTATGCAAAGACAAGATGGAAGGAGGCTGGAGAGAGAGGTCTGCTGTTGCAGCCCCAGAGAGTAATGGGACCACTTTAGACGGTCCCATACAGCTTATGATGTGCTCTAGAGCGGGGTAACCAGGGGCGGTACAAACAGTAGCCTCTCCGGCCCAGCAGAGCCAACCCAAACACTAGCCTCTCTCAGAAGAGGTTTGCCCAGGACGGAGGTGACAGGGGACAGCCAGTAAATAGCACCATGCCTAGGGAGGCTGAAGCAGGGGCTCCTACACTGGAGAAGTTTCTTGAAGGAGGTCGTTCTGGCTGGGTGGTGTCATAGGTAGAGTGGGGATTTGGGGGTGCCCCTGAGTTCTTACCCTGGCTTTGTCACTCCTTCACAGCGTGGCCGAGGGCAAGGGTCTTTACCTCTCTGGGTCTGTTTCTGCATCCTGCAGAATGGGAAAAGGAACCCTATCATCCAGCTTACGGGAATGTAAGGCCCTGCTGCTGCTCGGCATGTCATCCAGATACTACTTTTCCATGAATTGTCTTGATTCCCACCGAAGCTAGTGTGGTTTCAGTGCTAAAATCTGTCATGAGGAGCAGAAGGTATCTGATTTATTCAATGAATAAATATTTATTGATCTCCTACGAGTAAGCATATGGAACCACGCAGTACGTACCAACATTTATGGAGCTCTTCCTATGTGCCAGGCCCCATCCTGGCACGTGGATAAACCCACTGAAACCTCAGACCAACCCCACGAGGCCGTGGCCTTGGCTTCATGGAGATTACAGATACCTAAAGCTGGTTATTGGCAAACTTTTTCTGTCAAAAGACAGATAGTAGCTATTTCTGGCTTTGCGAGGCATATGTTCTCTATTGCAACTACCCAACTTAGCTGTTGTAGCATGAAAACAGCCTGAGGCAATATGTAAACAAATGAGTGTGGTCCTTTTCCAATAAAACTTTATTTGCAAAAACAGTTGGTGGGCCAGATTTGGCCTACGAGCTGCAGTTTGGCCATTCCTGGCTGAGCATGTAATATGCTATACCGGGGAAAGGCCGCGGGGTCCAGGGTGGGGAGATGCTTTGCTTTTGATTAGCTGTGAGTTCAGTGAGTAAATACGGACTGAGTGCCCGCCACGGTGACAGGTTCCAGGCTGGGCATAGGAGAGCTAGGGGTTCAAAAACAGGCCTGGTCCATGTTTTTATGGGGCTTAGGTTCTCATGAAGGAGATGTATGTCACCAGATAATAATACAGATAAACATATAATTATCAACGAGGATAAAGTGCTATGAGTTGGAAGGTATCCATATGGCACTATGAAGCCAAGTGACGGGCTAATGTCACATGTAGATGGCTAATGTTCATTGAGTGTTTAGTGTACGCTGGGACTGTTCTAAGCACTGTACGTATATTAACTCATCAGTTCTCCCTACAACTCTGCGAAGTAAGTATTGGAATTACCCCCTCAGACAGCAGCTAAAACTGAGGCACAGCTAAAAATGGTTGAGCCATTTCTCTGAGTCCACCCAGCAAGGAAGTGGAGAAGCTGGATTGTGAACCCAGGCGGTCTGCCTCTAGGGTCTGGGTGTCTGACCACTGCACTCCCTGGCTCTCAGGCCTGTGCCTCCTGCCCCTCTGAGCTCATGTGGGGATCAAGGAGGGCTTCCCGGAGGGAATGATGTTGGAGCTAGCATCTGATGGATAAGGAGAAGCCAACAGGGCAGAAAAGAGACAGGGTGTGGAGTGTTCCAGGGAGAGGAAGCAGCGTGAGCTGGGCTGGAGAAAGAATCCTTGCTCAGGGAACTGGAAGACCCGTGCTGTCTGTCTCTGATGGTCCTGTGTGCCCCAGACCTCCCCTCAGGGGCCACTCAGCCAGGCCAGGGCACCGTCCTATCTATTCCCTGTGTCACTTGTGGCCTTCGATCAGAATGGTTGCTGTTACCAGGTGTATGGAGGATGGGCTCCCGATTTCCTGGGCGTGGTGCTCAACTCTTAATGTTTGCTATCCCACTTGGGATTTGGCCCATTCGTACAGGACAGGATCGCCCAGG